CGCCAGTGCCGCCCTGCCCTGCCCTCCACCCGTGCGTCTGTCTGCGTGTAGGTGTCGCGGCCCCGCTGGGCTCCCCCCCGCCCCGCCCCGCCAGGGGCCCAAGTTTGGCCGCCGCCCAGCGAGCCATGTGGCGGCGGGGCCCCCGGTGGGGCGTGGAAGTGGCAACAGGAGCAAACATTGTCTGCGAACACAACGGCGCGCGGTTTAACTTTAAAATCACCTTTTTTTTGTCGCGCTTGGATTTTGAAGAAGGAAAAAAAAACTTTGGTAAACTTTCGCAATAATGCAGGTCGCACATTTGGACTTAACTTACGTAACTCTTTGCCGTTACGTTGAGTTAGGAGGAGATACGCGGGGCCAAAGTGTTGGAATCGCCCGTTGAAAATAAATAACAACCTCAATAACAACTATGATGATGCGAGCTTCCTGGTTTTCCGAATAATCTCGCACGTCTTCTCGTTTTCCACCCAAAAAATGTTCCTGTGCCACCGTAGGTGTTGCGATGTCGTTTGAAGGATTCTTGCAGAATCTGTTCTGATTTTTTATTTTTTGGAGTCTTTGTCTTCCCGGCAGATTACGGGAGGTCGGCGCCTGCAAGACTCGGGGTAGGCCACCCCGCGGTACACGCATGCACTGAAGGCCTGATTTTGCCTACCCATCAGGCGCTATGAGAGCTTGCGTAAGCTGAACTTGGCAGTTTCGTAAAGGTGAATGACGGACGTAGTTTCTGGAAGATCCTGGAAGAGTCCTAATGTGTTAACAACACGCACGCACGCAGCGCACACACACACACACACACACACAACTAATTTACTTGTGGTATTAGACAATAAATAGTAGTGTAGACCAACACAGTTCATTTTCAACTTGTCCACATACATCATGCCACGACTGCCACATCGTGTACTCTCGCTTCACACTTGTTCGTTTTGTATTTTCACGCAATTCATCGTTTGCCGTTTTCTCCTTAAGGGCTCGGGAGCGTCTCGCTGGGCCGCACGCAGCGAGTCCGCAGGTTGCGACACCACCCCGACCTCGCCGCCACCTGGGATGCCACTTATTTTTCTCGCTCTCTGACTTTTTTTTTCCTTCCCTCCCGAGAAATGAAACATTGTTCAGGCTGCAGGCGAGGCGCGGCTTGTTGTGTGTGCTATCCGCGGAGCCGCCCCGGCTCGACCCGGCCGGCTCGGACTCGCTCGAGCTCCAAATTCGAAGAGGAGCAGACGACGTTGCGCGGCGAGGCGCGACGTGAGGCGAGCGTCAATAAAGGAGGGACGGCACGGGCACAAAAACGGAAGCAAAGTGCGCAACCACATTTACTTTTTACATTTTATTTTTTCCGTCTTCTTTATATTTCCCGAATGGTAGTTTGTACTATGGGTATTTTCTGCACCATTCACAATACGTTTCAGAAATACCCTAAAAAGCTTACTGCAAAAAATTGAAAAAATATAGACACACTTGTGAAAATTTTAATAAATTGCCAGTATCGACTGGTTCCCTCTTTTGTAACGTCTGTCTAGGAGAGCGCGAGACAGAGTACTCTGGCGATGACTGATTTGACATGATGCTCAGGTACCGACATGAGGCGTACTTGTCTTGCCTTTTCGCTATAAGGCGGTGCGCGGGGCCGAGCGCTCTACGGCTCTGGCTCGCCATGGGATCGCCATGGGATCGCTGTCACCATGGGCTGAAGTCAGTATAGAGATAGAGGAAAAAAAATAACACAAAAAATACCGGAAAATTCTGCTCTGGACAAAGAATTATATTCCGAGTTGTGGCCGTGTGGGACCGGAGAGCCCCTGCCGGGTCGGCAGTTAGGCAGTCCCGCCTCACACGGATGTCGTCGAGTTGCCTACTCGGCAGCCCGTAAGGCGCTTTCCAGGCCAAACACAGCAGCGGCCTATAAACTTCCCTCCGTGCATGTTTTTGTTCTTCCTCTCTTTTTTCCTCCAGCCCCCTACCGAGACACCAGTTATATTTCGCGATATTTCAAGGCGAGCTCGGGGGCCTTGCAAAAGACAAGAGAAGGGGAGAAGAGGTTGGGGAGGAGGATGGTAAAAAAAGAGGCTTCCCGAGAACAACTGGTGGCCGGCGCGAATGTGGTGCTAAGGCGCACTACTGCCCCACAAACATGTACAGAGTCCGCGCACGCCCGAATAACCCAGAGGCTCCCGACGGCCTCCCGGAACGCCAGCCTAATCTCTGACTTCACGGACGATTTGCAGCATTTTGCAGCTTCCTCCCGCAATCTCTGCCAGAAGCAGCGGCGGAGGGCGGCCCGGCCCGACCCGACCCGGACAGCGACACGGGCTGGGGCAAAAGTTTAACTTAATCGCAGCTATAATTACGCACGAGCAGAGCCACTGGAGCAAACAGGGCTGGGGAGAGAGGGGAGGAGGGGGGGGGGGATTCTCC